GGTTATCCACACCATAATTTGAAGAAAGGAAGGTTTAAAAGGAGCAACCCCCATCCTTCCCGCCTCCCCCACCCCCATGAGACTATTTTTCCCTACCCACAGCCCCACCTCATGTCACCCGATAACGGGAGCTGGAGAGGGCAGTGTCAAACTTACCCGAGGCATCTGTTGTGTTCTCAAAATAATTTAGTTTCAAAGAAGAGAACAGATGGATTGCATTTCCCTGACTTTTAGCTGGTTCCAATGTGCAGACAGTTAAGATCATAATGTTAACATTTTCTCTGTTTTATGTGCATATAAAATATTCCTGAAGAATGTGCTTTTGAATGCAAAGTTTGATCCAATTACAATTTTATAGTTTATAAAAACATAAAAAGTCTGTTTTCTGGGTGTTTGGGACCCTGAGGCTTTTACAGTAAACTTGGAAGCTCTCAGGGAGACACATAATTGCCACCATGTCAAAGAGGACCCTGTGGAACTGAAAATGATGAGCCCATGAGGTAAGTATGGAAACATTCCACAGTCTCTGGGGAGTGAATGAGATACCGATGGAGGGAATTAAAAACAATCCTGTGGTCCCGGATCAGATTGGAAATGATTGTTGCACTGTGTTTTTAAAGGAGAGGGAAATAAAATAGAGAGAGGAATCTTGTAAACTTAATTTCTGTGGTTTGGAAGACACAAGGTAGCTCAGGCAGCTTCCCGCTTAGTGAGACAGAGGAACAGGTCTTCAGCCAGCACATCAGAGATCCCCCTCTCCAGGGGAAACATCAGAGAGAGTTCTGGGAATGGAAGTGGAGCTCTTCCCAATCTCTTCCACTGTATCTGAGCAAATAACTTCAGCAATCTGGGTACTAGCCCTTTCTGCTCACAGAACAAACAGACACACACAAGGTTAAGGTCTAAGATCTTCTCTATGTCTGGAATGCTAATGTCGAGCACTGATTACAAGCTGTTGGAGTACAGCAGACAGCTATGAGCAGCATGTCTGGAGGGAGATATCTATGAAAGGGAAAGATGGAGGACTTGCTTCTGCAAGAGCATGGAGGCATAGCCAGCCGATCTCTGAGATGATCGAATCTACACTCTCGGATACCCTGTATGAGCAGTCCACTGAACTAACAGCCTGTTCTCATTTAGAGATGTTGATGAGGAATTCCTCGTGTTGACTGGGAACTGTGAGCGTGTGTACAGGATTGTTTTGTAAATGTGGAATGGGTTTCTACTCAGGGGCTGTCCACTTCCAGCAGCTTCTCTGTGACGTTCATGTGCCTGAAGAGCAGAGCACTGTTCCATTGTACTCCTGGTAGGCAGGCCTCCTAGCTCTGGAAACCTGAGATTATCTGGTGATAATTGCATTCATGGTACTGATTCTAGGCTACATCAATCAATTAGGGGAATTCTGGTTCTCAGAACTGCAGGAAAAGTACAGTTTGCCTTGTTACTACAGGGAAGATGTGAGGCTCCAATAGGTCAAGGCATTTGGAGACAATCACACAGGCGCTTGGTCAGGCCTCCTGATACTGTAATATAATCCTATGATCTACTCCATACCTTGTTTAAGGAGACCCAAGAGCCTGACACCAAATGTGTCCATGCGAGTTACTTAGGGCTGCCATGAAAAATGACCATGAGCCTGGTGATTTGAGAGGACTGACAGGTATTTGGGCACAGCTGTGGCAGTTAGAAGTCTGGAATCAAGGTGTCACAGGGCCTACCCACCCTCTTAGGGCTCTGGGAAAGAATGCTCCCCTTACCTCTCCAGCAAGTAGGGCCTTCAGCCTTCCAGAAGGAGGTCTGTGTCTACTCCTGTGTGCTCCATCTCTCTGTGGGGCCTTGTTTCTGTTTTTGAGGACGCATTAGATTTGCAGGACATGTTGTTGATTCTGCATGGTTGCATCGCCATCTTTGACTAATTCATTATATATGCCCACTTTTTAAGCCAGGCCATTCTTTGAGGCTCTGGGTGGACATGAATTTGGGGGATACTATTTGACACACTCCACGTGAGTAGCAGGAAGAGAAGTCAGAAGCAGAGGACCTTGAACCCACTCTTTCCTCGTGGCCTAAGCACTGACTGTTTTCACGCATGACATCTGGTCCTTACACCCCTCCCCTCACTCATAGGCCATTTGCAGTCATTTTGCCTCTTTTTCTCTGCAATGAGCAGCCTTCAGTGGTACATAATTGGGTTCGTTTTAAGAGATCTTTCTCTGGATGCCATGTAGAAAGTTAGATGTAGGAAGTAAGGGTAAACCAGGGAGAGTGTTATGGCTTTTGGAGTCCTTCAAGAGAAAGGTGCTTAGAGTTGGAATCAGCGGAAGTGGAGAATGTGAACAGATTCTGAATATATATATATATATATATATATATATATATATATATATATATATTTAATATGTAATATGTGTATATATTATTTAAGGGATATCTATCCATCCATCCATCCATCCATCTATCTATCTATCTATCTATCTATCTATCTATCGATATCTATAGATAGATAGATACTTAAGGGATAGCTGGTAGTTTGGTCACTGGGGGTTGAGTATATATGAGATGTCCAAGTAGTCCATCAGTCACCAGTCTGTAACTAAAGGAACAGGTCCACTTTGGAGGTGGGGAGATGGGGAATTACAGTGACCAGTGGTATTACCAGCTGAGGTCACCTGTGGAGTGCAGTGAGAACTCAGGCTCGTGCTGTGGTCCCTGTTTTATTCAGGATCCAGAAAGACAAAGACGATCTAAGCACAGGCTACTAAGATGTAGGAGTCAACGAGACTGGAAATGACCAGGAGAGTCAGTGTCCTAAGAAGGGACCAATCAGTTGTGTCAAAACTGTATGATACATAGGAGAAATAACCTTGATGTCTTTAAGATTAATTGCAGAGTAACAAATCAAGCTAATAATCAAGCATGATACATTTCAGGATCATTGAGCAAATTTCAGATGTTCTTATCACCAAAAAGGTTAAATATTGAAATAATAGGTCAATTAGCTTGGTTTAACCATTCTCCATTGGGTTAGAAATCATGATATTATACCATAGCCTCTAAGTATATACAAATATAGTTTGTTAACATATGACTAAAATATTGGCTGAAGGATCAAAATGATGGGGCCTTGGAACATTGGAGGTTCCTTATTTCTGTGACACGAGGTTTTGTGATGTGACGAGGGGGAGTCACAGAGCTCTAAGTGGGAGGAAGAGTGTAATGGAGCCCACTGTCTGTTGCCCGCTGGCTCATGGGTGGTCTAACCCAACAGCATTTCTCAGTGCTGCTCTGGCACAAACCACACCCAAGCACCCATTTTCAGAGAGATCCTTTCCCAAACTGGGAAGAAAAGTTAAAGTGGCTGCTTTCTGACTCAGGCAGAAAAAGAGAAGCAAATGACCTTGCAGGTGTAATTTTTTTTTTTTTTTTTTTTTTTTTTTTTTTGTTTTTTTTGTTTTTTGTTTTTTGGTTTTTCGAGACAGGGTTTCTCTGTGTAGCTTTGCGCCTTTCCTGGATCTTGTGCTGTAGACCAGGCTGGCCTCGAACTCACAGAGATCCGCCTGCCTCTGCCTCCCGAGTGCTGGGATTAAATTTTTAAGAGGAGGAAGAGGAGAGGTCTGTGTTAGAACGGGCTGGGATGTGTGGTAAAGGAGATAGGGGATAAGGGAAAAGGGGAAGGGGACCAGGGAATAGGGGCAGGGGTATTTGTCCCAAAGGACAAAGGACTGCCTCTGGACAGAGAGGAGACAGACGTGGCACATGGGCAAATGGCCGTTTATAAAGGGAAGGGAAAACCTCGTGTTAGGATGAGGTGTTTAATTTTGATTGGGCATGTTAATTAGGGGAGCCAAAGGGGGCTTCTGATTTCTGGACCGTGGTAGTCAGCCTCAGGAGGAGGAAGTGGCTAAATAAGGGATAGACCTTGGGGGCTAGCTTTGGGAATGTAATCTAATGGTTTAGCAAGGCAGAGGGAATGGGGGAGAAGGGCAAGGCCTGTCAGAGCCACATGCTTGAACGGGCTAGTGTCCCTTCAGTAAGAGATGTGACAGGCATTTTCAAGGTTGCCAGTGCTGCTTTAACTTTGTAATCCATTGCCCCTGTTTACGTAAGACACAGCTCTTCCTTCGCTCCACCCACTAAATTCACTGTTCTTAGTGACGGCTGCCACTCACTTTCCTAATCACCTACTGTACAGTGATGGTTCCTGTTGGCTCCTAGTCTGCAGTTGTAAAGGTAGTTCCTGGCCCTCAGCAGGCTCATGTCCATCTCCTCTTCCTTAAGTGAGTGAGAAGGCAGACGACAAAGATGACAGAGTACTGCTCCAGAACTAGACACACAGGACGCCGTCACACCAGGGCTAGTCTTGATGCTTTTGAAAGGCTTTTCCATCTCACAGGAAGACTCCCTTAGGAGCTCATTAGACCAAAGTGCTTCACAAGCTGGAAAAGAAGCTCTTGGACCCACAGAGGCGAAGTCATGGGGGTGAGCAAGAGACAGAGTTCCATTGCAAAGGGAGGAAATGTAGCGGAGGATGCTTTCATTTAGTCTGTGATGACAAGATAAGGCGTTAATAGATTTAAGCTGCACTGAGGAACACGGAGATATTGCAGGTGATAAACCTCCCAACCAGATGGAGCTCCAGACACAGCGGGAGGGTCTCTGGGCTCCATCCAGCCTCCTCCCAAGTTACAGGGCTTGAGAGCCACGACTAAGGCCAGACCATGGCCCTGGAAGCAGGGAGGAAGTGGGTGAGCAATACATGCAGGTCTATTCTAGCCTATTTCTGTGGAAGCTCAGGAATCAACAGGAATGGCCTTCTGTGGGGACATTTGTTTTGTTTGTTGGTTTGTTTCATTTTGTTTGAAACAAGTTTCACCTATGAAGCCCTTGCTGGCTTGAAATTCAATATGTAGACTAGATTGGCCTTGAGCTTGCTTTGAGGGTGCTAGGATGAACAGATATGAAACACCAGAACTGATGGGACATTCCTTTATTCCCTCCAGGACACTTGACACAGTCCCAGGGTCCACGTGAGGAACCCCACTGAAGTGGCAGAGCTTACTAAAAGTAAGTGGAATTACCCCACCAGTCTTGGGCTGGAAGGAGAGAGAAAATGGGAGAGTTTGGAACTAGACAAATGCAGCTTCCAGTTCAGCCATCTTCTGAGCAGAACTCAGGAGAAATGTGTATCTACTCTCTGGCATAAGTGGAACAGGTCCTATTTCCTGGCTCAGGCCCTACAAAACTAGTCCTGGGCACTTGTGGCACCTGCTTTTCTGATTCCGTGTGTGCGTGCGTGTGTGTGTGTGTGTGTGTGTGTGTGTGTGTGTGTGTTATGTGCACATATGTGTGTGGTATATGCACATGTGCATGAGTGTGTATATGGTATGTACATGTGTATGAGTGTGCATGTGTGTGTGTGGTGTGTGCAGGCTGCGTTTGGAGGCACATGCTCGTGTGCCTGCCTTTTTATGAGGGTTCTGAGGAATCAAAACCAAGGTCCTCATGCTTGTGAGGTAGGGCACTTGACTAATGGAGTTACCTGCCCATCTTTTCCTGACTCCTCCCTGTCATTTTGGCCCTGGAGGAGGAACGGAAAGACAAAGAAAAGCAAACACATGCAGTGATTGGATTTATAGGATGCTTTGGCAATGGCCTGCCTTGAGAAGCTTCCGGAACAAGCTTCTTTATGGAGCAGTTACAGAGCCACTTACCAGAACTGTTCCTCAGAACGTTCCAGGAAAGGAAGCTTGCTCTTGACTCCTTGATCAGTTTTAGCCCCCAACTCCCTTGACCATCATGCCACCTGGGTCTTTCTCAGCCCTGCTGTATCCTCTTGCACACCCCCTGCACTGTGCAAGAAGCCAGGTAGAGGAGGGCAGAGCAGTCTTCTTCCCTGGCCCTCTTCACTCTGTCCAGCCACTTTGCACAGCCGACCCCCAAGCTCCTGTGTGCATCTCTAGAGAGCTCGGGTAATCTGAACCCTTGTCTGGGGATGGCTTGTCTGTGTTTACAGATAGAAGACAAGCTGCAAGAAACAGGATTGGGGTTGTTTTTGGTAAGTTGAACCAGCTGTGCTCTCCTGCCTGTGGCTGCTTCCTTTGCATATGGCAAATGTCACGTGTGGTTGGAGTCTCTTTTCTTCCCATAGAGTTGTTTTCCTCTCCTGAAGCCAGCTCTCCTCCTGGGCTCCTTCCCCCTCGCCACCATCTGCTCCCCTGTCAGGCGTCAGCTTGCTGGGCCAGCCTGTGCATTGCCCCAGCCTGGCTCCTGAGGACAATGTTCCAATCCCAGGGGTCCAATACCTCTTGCCATGCAGCTTTGCAGATGGCAGTCTGAGGCTGGAGTAGAGTAGCCTTTTCCCTCCTTTTAGAAATCAACCAGAAACTGTAGTTGTTGTTTTTCCCCCACTCTTTTAGGGCCCGCCACCCAGCTCCCAAATAAATACATGCAGACTTATTCTTACTTGTGAATGCCCGGCCTTAGCTTGGCTTGTTTCTAGCCAGCTTTTCTTAACTTAAATCATCCCATCTACTTTTTGCCTTTGGGCTTTTTACCTTTCTTTATATAACTTTCTTTGCTTCCTACTCAGTGGCTGGCTGTGTGGCTGTGTGACTGGCCCCAGGTATCCTCCTTTTCTTCCCCCTTTCTTGCTACTCATTCTCTTTCTTTAGCCTAGGTTTGTCCTCCTATCTATTCTCTCTGCCTGCCAGCCCTGCCTATCCTCTCTCCTGCCTCACTATTGGCTGTTCAACTCTTTATTAGACCAATCAGGTGTCTTAGACAGGCAGAATAACACAGCTTCACAGAGTTAAACAAGTGCAACATAAAAGAATGCAACACATCTTTGCATCATTAAACAAATGTTCCACAGCAAAAACAAATGTAACACATCTTAAACTAATATTCCACAACAAGAAGCTTATCTCCATGAGATTATAACTCAAAGATCACTTTAGAAAGTGCGGTCCATTTCACCACTCAGTGGTGGCAGCACCAGCATCATTTCACATTGGTAATATTTAAATAGGCATATAAAAGAAACCCTTCCATGTTTAAGTGATCCACTTTCTTTAGATAGAAATTCATTGGAATGTAAGACAGGCTCATCTTACTGATAAAGTTTCAATTCATCATTTGTTCAGTTCCTGCTAGGCAATCAGCATCTTCCTTCAAAGAGCACACAGCCTACTTAGAAGAAAGTAGAGGACACGTATATAGCTGTGGTGGTATTGTGTTCCCCAAAATATTGTGTACCCTAATAAATTTATCTGGGGTCAGAGAACAGACAGCCACTAGATACAAAGGCTAGAAAAATGGTGGCACTCACACCTTTAATCCTAGCATTCCAGAGACAGAAATCCTTCTGGATCTCTGTGAGTTCAAGGCCACATTGGAAAGGCCAGGCATGGTGACACACGCCTTTAATCCCAGAAAGCGAGCCTTTAATTCCAGGGTTTTGAGCAGCAGTTCAGCTGAGAGCCATTGGGATGAGGACACAGAAGCTTCCAGTCTGAGGAAACAAGACCAGCTGAGAAGTTGGCCAGGTGAGGTTAGCTGTGGCTTGTTCTCTCTCTCTGATCTTCCAGTGTTCACCCCAATACTTGGCTTGGGTTTGATCTTATTAATAAGAACATTTTAAGATTCATGCTACATATAGCCATGTAAAAGAATTTGTTAGACTCCCTCTGGCCATTGGCCAAAGATGTTGAGGCTGAAGATGGGTTGCTACAATGGGAATTTGTGGCACAGAGCCATGGTGGACTAGGGGTGCTTAGTGAAGACTTCCTGCTAGAAGCATGGCAGGTTGAGGAAGTGGTCCTGGGTTGGAAGCTGTCTTAGTTAGGTTTTTATTGCTGTGAAGAGACACCATGGCAACTCTTATAAATGAAAACATTTAATTGAGGTGCTCACTTAGAGTTTCAGAGTTCCATTATCATCATGATGGGGAGCATGGTGGTGTACAGGCAGATGTGGTAATGGAGCTGAGAGCCCTACATCTTGACTCAGAGGCAACAGGAAGTTGACTGACTCACTGGGAGGTATCCTGAGCATAGGAAACCTCAAAGCCCACCCCCCCAGTGACACATTTCCTCCAACAAGGCCACACCCACTCCAACAAAACCATGCCTCCTATAGTACCACTCCCTATGAGCTTATGGGTGCCAAATAAATTCACATTACCACATTTCATTCCCCGGCCCCCATAAACCTTTAGCAAAGAAATGCCGGGGCTGGAGAGATGCTTCAGTAGTTAAGAGCACTGGGAGCTTTTGCAGAGGGCCTGGGTTCAGTTCCCAGCACCCACATGGCAGCTCACAACTGTCTAACTCTAGTTCCAGGGGATCTGGTGCCCTTTTCTAACCTCCTTGGATACCAGGCATGCATGTTGTATACAAACATACATGCAGGCAAAACACTCATATACATAAAACAAATAAAATTAAAGAAATAAATAAAAGAGTAAAATAAAGTACAGAGAGATGTGAAATCCAGGGTACTAGTTGGTTAAAGTTCAGCAATAAACGCCTCCTTACTCTGCAAAACTAAGCTAAACCAAAACACCTAATCAGCAGCCTTTGTGTTTTTCATGTATATTTGTAATAATGTTGACCAATTTCCATGGTGTACATAGTGTGAATACACTCAATATGGCTAATTTCACAGTCAGTTTTAAGGTGTGACATTATTGACCAGCCAGAAGTTGGAAAGAGCTGTTGATCTAAGGTTGCCATCACTGGAAAGGAGTCCTCTAGCAAGAAACATGGACTTGGGGAGGGGGCATTAGGGAGGGACCTTCATGCACAGAATCCTATGAACTATTATAGGGGCTCTAAGAAAACTGCACAAATTAAAAAATATTTGGGTTAACTTTCCTCTATATAGACATCTCTCCAATAATAGCAAGTGTTGTTTTCAATGAGTATTCATCGATTCTTACTATGCTAGTGGGGAAGACTTATTTTTAAAATGATTCATGTGGAAATGTCTTTTTTGTCTTGAAAAGGCTCCTCTCTGACTCCCTTAGATATGTGTATGGGCCACAATAGCACGCATATACTGGTTTGCAGTCCTTTTCTGTTTCTACTTGGGCTCTTTGTTTTGTAGTCGATCTCTGTTGCTCACTTTGCTTTCCAGTGCTATGGTTTGAATGTATTAGAGACTTCATTCCAACGCTGTAGTGTTAGGAGTAGCTCTACTTCAGTGTTTCTCAACCTGTGGGTCACGACCCTTTTGGCAAACCTCTATTTCCAAAAAATACTTATATTACAATTCATAACAGTAGCAAAGTTATAGTCATGAAGTAGCAATGAAAATAATTTTATGGTTGGGGGGTCACCTCAACATGAGGAGCTGTATCAAAGGGTCACAGTATTAGGAAGGTTGAGAATCACTGTTCTACTGGAAGGTATGTGGGTCATGGATAGACTGATGTTATTATTGAAGGGAAGAGTTCATTATTACAAGTCCAAGTTCCTCATTAAAGGATGAATTTAGCTCTCCCTTGTCTCTTTCTCACCCTCCTTTGTCCTTCAGCCGTGGTACGTGGAAGAAAGATAGCCTTCTCCAGATGCCTGTCCAATAGACTTGGGCTCTCTTTATTGTAAGTGTAAGTCGTTGTAAGTTACACAGTCAATTGGAGTCCTTTTGTAGAATCACAAAACAAAGAGAGAAAGTGAATGCCAAGAAATAGGAATGCTGCTGTAAGAAATACTTAAAAATGTAGAAGCCACCTCGTAGCTGGGTAGAGGCTAGATACAGTTTCTCTCAACTGGTGGGTCGCAACCCCTTTGAGGGTTGCATATTAGTTATCCTACATCTCAGATATTTACATTATGATTCATAACAGTAGCAAAATTACAGTGATGAAGTACCAACAAAATAATTGTATGGTTGGGGGTCCCCATAGCATGAGGAACTGTATTAAAGAGTCACAGCATTAGGAAGGTTGAGAACACTGGGCTAGAAGCATTGGAGGCACAGGTAAGAAAAAGCCTAGAGAGCCATAACTGGAGCATTTAGGGGAATTCTGAAGAGGGCACAGGGAAAAAATTGGAGAGAAAGTC